CCCCAAAACCCCAAAACCCCAAAACCCCAAAACCCCTTTTTATATGTAGTCGTTGAGATCGCATTCCAAAATAAAATGGTGTTTTGGATCTCTAAATCTTGAATAAAACTTAACCACGGTATGGACTACAGCTCCTGCGTGGTGAGCAGCTTCTACAAGGGCTGATTGATCTAGTATATCTTAATCTGTTAATAGAATCTCTGATTTCCATATCATTTCTAGTTTGTAATTCAGCCACTCTATGTCTTCTATCTAAGTCAGCTCTGACTCTTTCATCAGTGACTATGATGTTATCTAATTCTTTTGTCAAGTCTACATTCTGACCCTCAAGGAGTTGAGCATGTCTATTGAGAACATTGAGCTCATCTTCAAGTCCTTTATTAGCAACATCAGCGTCTTCAAAGATTCTTCTAAGTCTTTCAGCATCATCTCTGACAACAGAAATATCTTTCTCAAGGAATGCGAGCTCTTCCTCAAGTCTTCTTAAAGTTGCTTCTAAGTCAGCATTTCTTGCTACTTGTCTATCAAGTTCACATCTTTCTCTGTTAGTAGAATCTAGCTGGGACCCATATCTGTGGTTGAGGTCGTTAGCTTCTTGATCTCTATGATCAATCTCCCCTCTAAGCTTGGCCACTTCATCTTCAAGAGCATTGAGTCTAGCATTCTTGTCAGCTAATTCAGCATTTTTATCTGCCAATATTCTTCCAAGATCACCTTCATTTGCTTTGTTCCTGTTCAGGTCTTCTTCTAAAATTGATAGAGTTTGGTGAGCTGCTTTGTTCTCATCATCTCTTACAATGGCTGAAGATTTGGCAGCATCAAGATCAGCTCTTAATTTTCTACCAAGACCTCTTTCTTCACCGATTTGATGCTCAAGTCCATTGACATCTCTTCTGATCTGCTCGTTTTCAGTTGTGAAGTTTGAGATATCACAAGTCAGGTCGCCATCTTGCTTCTTCAAAGCCTCTATTTGAGCTCTTAAATCATCAATTTCAGCGTCTCTTGCTGAAATAGTGCCTCTAAGGTCATCGTTCTCGACTTGGATGTCTCTGATGACAGCTTCGTCTTCGCTTTTTCTGTGCAGCATCTCACCCTCGATCCTTCTTCTTTCTTCATTGACTATAGCGATCTCATGCTCAGTTGAAGAAACTCTGTCTCTCAAATCATAGTAATAGCCATTTCTGTTTCTCAGCTCATAATTCTCAGCCTTCAGCTCTGAGATATGCATGTCCTTATGGTCACACTCCAATGGGTGTCTGTGGTGATAATGGTACTAGAAAATAAGCTTAGGAATTAGTTGGCTTTAGGGAAATATATTAAAATCGGCAGAATTTCACTCACCATATTCTTAGATTATTTATCGAAAATAAAATTTAAATAAAATATAATTGTTAGAGATTTAAAATCAGTGACTCCAAATTCTCCGGGGTTTTGGGGTTTTGGGGTTTTGGGGTTTTGGGGTTTTGGGG